TGTGTCTCAAATTATTGGATGTGTTGGAGTTTTTACTTGCTCTGTTGGGCTTTTCTACAATGTACCAATAAATATATTTTATTTTTATATTTTTTTTATATATAGATGCTTAATTTTTTATTTGTGTAAATTTAAAAAAATTACATATACCATTATTTATTTAGACAAAAAATCAATTCTTCTTGAGCTATAATATTTAGCCTTTTTCTGCTTTGGAGTAATCTCAACATATCCATTAGGTGACATTAATTGAATTACACGCTTTGGTGTTCCAATCTTCTTGGGTGAGAATATTCTTGCTACATTTTCACATTCTGAAATTATTTTTGATTTTGTAACGTTGTCCATAGACTTACGTTTTATTATTATTTCTGTAGATTTAATTTTTTTTAAATATTTTCTTGAGGACCAATTTTTTCTATCGAGTATCATGGCTTGCAAATATGTAATTTTATATATTTTTTGGCGGGAAGGCAAATCACAAAGTACATTTTTTGTCTTGTTTTTAGACCTCGTGGCGCAATGGTAGCGCGTCGGATTCCAGTCCCGAAGGTTCTGGGTTCAAATCCTGGCGAGGTCATTTTAACAAATTAGTTATTTGTCAAATAACTTTTTAATTCTCTTTTATAATCACATGCTACTATTATTAATGATGCCATATTGGTTTCGTAAAATCTAAAAGTTATTTTATTTTTTTTAGTATGCAAAGTTGGAAGGAAGGAGTTATCTTTAATAAGATCCCTTAAAATTGCTTCCTTCCCCAGCTCTTCATAACAATAGCGTGTCTACGCAAAGGCGGCATCATCATCATCAATATATTTAAAAAGTTTGAATTTGAATATTTATTTATTTTTTAACCCTTCTTTTTTTAAATTTTTAAATTCTGTTTTAATTTTTCATTATAAAGCACTAAATATAACCTAAAGATTTGTATATAATTGTTACTAAAAGGATATTACGGGGTTTTGTGTATTTTCTTAGAGTTTCTCAATTTTTTTGTAATTGCAAAATGGTACTACTTAAATTTTACTTTACAGTGTAAGACAGTTTGTAGTTTAAACAATGCGCACAAGCCTAAAGACATGTTTCACAATTAAAAATAAGAATATATCGTATTTATAATCCCGTTTCAAACGGGATGGCGTTAGCTAGTTTATTTATAAAAACTTGCTAAACATTGTAACCTTGTTATTTTCTTCGTGGCTGCTGGAACAACAAGGGGGCACAGCTATTGTCCTTAGTCTTGGTATACCATTGCCGGTGGCAGAAGCCGTGACTCTTTAGAGAATCTGCATCAAATTTAGCAGACGGGTGTCGTTAGAGAGTATTCTCACTCCGTTTAAGACAAATGTGTCTTGACCTGGGAAGGGTCTGGCTTAAAGCTGCATATTATGCCGTAGCATCCCACAGGACCGAGTTATTTTTTTAAATGATGTATTGAACCGGACATTACCCTTTAAATCCTGCTGAGTGAAGATCTCAGTCTTTATAACATATGGATTTTAATAAATCCTATAAGGTTCCCTATCGTCCTACAAGCAAGGCCCAGTGGTATGCTGGTGTATATCGCTAATTATTGGATGTTTTATAGTTTTTACATGCTCTATCGGGCTTTTCTTTAATGCACTAATAAACTTATTTTATTTTTGATACTATCACAAATTTTGAAAAGGCACACTGATTATTCTATTTTGAGTCTTGATGCCGTAGAAGCTTTCTTAGATGACAACAAGTTTATTTTATTCTTTTAAAAAAGACAAAGCAACCACTTAAATGCTTATTATTTAACAGTGTGCAAGAAAGACAATAAATTGACATAAATTTTAAATATAAAAAATTAAAACCAAGCTTTTTAAACGCAAATATTGAATGACTTCTTATAATTTATGCTTTTAAAAGAAAGTGAATTTTTATATTAACATTTTACCAAAAATTCATACATCATGGGGTTATAAATTTATAACAACCTTATTTTATTTATGTATTATATTTATGCAAAAAAGCATTTAAGTTTTTTTATTGCATAAATTATGGATTATCAATCACAGATCAAAGTTTTAGTTTACAATGCCTTTTCTTGTATAACTTACATTAGAAACTTTTTTAGTGAAGATTGCTTTACTAAAGGCTTTCCTACAATAATAAAGAATCATAAAACTAAAGAGTTATTAGATATTTTAGAAAAAGGCGTCTATGATGCAATTGATAAACAATTTCTTTACAATTTTACTATCTTCATAATTGTCAGTAATCATATTGTTGAATCATACACATTCAAAATTAATTATTGCAGCAGTAATGCAAACCTTAAAAATTTCTGTCTAGTTTTACAAAAACTTAGTCCACTTCCATTGCATAAATCCATGAACATAAAGCTTACATTTACTGACAATACACCTTTGTCATACCAGCCGTATGGATTTAAAGATGGATCAGATGTATTTTATAAGCACAATAATAAAATTTCACTTTTCAAGTTTAATAATATGGAGGGATGTTTAATACCAGAAAATATAGAATATATAAAAGAAGATATATCTTTAACGACTACTAATTATGAGATTAGCATGAATAACGTTGCTAGGAGGGCAAATAATAAAGTATTTGTAGAAAAAAATAATCAAAGTACTAAGAATAATCTTAAAACAACTAGCTCTATAATTTATGGAGATAAAGAAAATTTATGTAATAACGACATGAAGGAAAATATATGTTTAGAAGATATTAAAAAAACTACATGTAATAATGACATGAAAGATAATGATACTGAGCGTATCGAAAATATATGCAATGTAGGTTTGTTAAGCCCAAAAAAAAGCCCGTCATTTTCTACTGAAAAAAATTCGGCAGAAAGACCGCATCAACAATTAGTTGAAAATAAAATCACAAAGAATACTGAAAAAAATACTAAAAAAGATGACGAAGTTGTATCGCAAAGTACTTTTAGTGCATTTGATTTTACATCCCAGAATACTTTTCCTGCTGAAATCAACAAGCAGTGTGAATTGTCCTCAAAAACTGAAATGATCGACAATGCTGTAAACCGATTGACAGTTAAAGGAGATGATAGTGCGAAGTCTACAATAAGATGCACGTGTTTAGTAAAAATAGATAATTATGACTTAATTTATTGTGATTTTTGCTGTTTATGGTTACACACTGTTTGTTGTGGATTTTTTTCTAATAAAGACAAAAGAATACCACTAGGAAGCTTTAAATGCGAATTTTGCATTGGAAATGTAAATCAAAAAATAACAGAAAGATCACTTACAAGACGATTGCTAGCTATTCTTTATTTAGAGAAGTTTAAAAGTAAAAGATATTTAAGCTCACGAATGGGAATAAGCTACGATAAAATGAATAACATTTTCACGAAATTACAAAGCGAAGGATTTATTAAAAAAAGACAGAATAGTTATGTAGTTGTTAAAGACGAAAAAATTAAAAAACGTCTTAAAGAATATTTTAGAGTGAATAAAACCTCTATATGTATTAAAGACATAGATGGAAATAATTAAACACGTTAAAGTAACATCAATGCACATAAGTATTAATTTTATATAACTTTTTAAGAAAACATAACTTTTTGCTATATGAATATTCTAATTATTAATTTTTTTTAAACAACTTTTTTAAGAAATAAAACTATTTATATTTTGAATAATTAGATAAAAAATATTAATTTGAAGATTTATTAAAGCTTTATACGTAATAAAACCATACAAACTATATTTAAGCATATAGTAATTGTAAATAATAATATTATGAAGGAAATGTTAGTTTTTAATGTAAAATAAAAAGGTTATAAATAATATAGTTTGTTTTAAAACCATTTTATAGTAGAATAATTATTTATTTTAATACTACAAAATTATGAGGTCTATACATAACTGATAAAGTTTAGTTTAAAATAGAGAATAAGTAGATCGTATGATACTATTTAACCATCAATAGAAAGATACAATTAAAAAACTAAATATTTAAAACAACATCAATAAAACTTGTTTTTTTAATAATTTATCAAAAAAATTAAAAACACTATTAATAAATCACGACAAAGAATCACAAAATTATAATTTTTATAAAACTTTATTAATGACTTCTACACCTTCTTTACTTATAATACGTATATCTATATTAGAAATATCAACAGAACATCTTTCTTTTAAAACATCAAAACATTTATACAAAACCTCAATTGCCTTATCCTTATTAATGTCTTCAGTGTATTCTTTATCAAGTACGCCATAACAGAAATATGTGGCTATCCCTACAGCCATAAAATTATTCTCGTACATAGATCCATAAACATCAACACTGTAAAGTTCGGGCCCATTATCTGTCAATCCACCTATAAGAAAATAATTTTCAATTGGGCGGGACCTTAGACTCCTATAAATACTTTTCTGAATGATATTAGCAGTAACTTTTGGGGTAATTTCTACATTGTTCTGGATTTCTTCATATATTAACTTTTCTTTTACAAAAGATGCTGTTCTGAAGGCATCTCCTTGATCACCTAAATAAGTAAATATAACTCTGTCATTAACATTTATAAATTTATTTTCATCTCTTTTAAGGACTAGATAAGAGTTTTTGATACTAGCATCAGTTCCTATAATGACAAAGTCTTTACCTTTTAAAGCTATAGAAGACTCCATTATGTTTAAGGGTAAAATAAACAGGAAAATATTTTAATGTTTAGGAGACAATATATTTAGTACATAGATATGTTTTTAAAGAAGAACTATAAGCAATATTATTTAATTTATAATTATCTATATGGTTTTTTAAGTATTTAATGTATTAAGTATACGGTAATACCCTTTATATGCAATTATATTCCACTGTCAGTGCCACAAAAATTTAATGTACACAAATAAGCACTTAAATTAGTCTTAAGACATGATACAAATATTGTACAAAATAAAAATATTGTTAAAGATATGTATCATGTACATGTCTATAATAATAATAAATTATTTATTTATAGAAAAATATAAATAGATTTATTTAAAACCTAACTAATTATTTTTGCAAAATATAATGCTACATCCTTTAAACATAGTAGTTTTTCTGATTTAAATAAATTTAAAATTGTTTCTTTAATTTATTTTACCAATTAAAAAAGTTTATTTTTTACAAGTAAAAATAAATATTGTTTGCCTTAAAGTTGTGTATCTTTTCAATTATTTAAAGATTAAGCGTGTGTATAAATGGCTGATTAAATTGTAATTAACTACTTTGAAAGACATAGTAACTTTAGAAGCTATTCTTATTTTTTAAAAATCACAAAGAACAATTTTCTAAATTCATTTGCAAGTTAAATTGCTGATAAAAATATTTATGCATAAAAAATATTCAAAAAATCTGTATTTGAGATAAAAAAATAAATATTAAATAAAACTTAACCATCCAATATACATATTAGACAAATTATTTTGATTCATAGCTTCATCATTCAAATCTTCTATTTTACTAATAGTATCTCCGTCCTGAATTTTATCACTCAAACTGTCAATAATCTTTTTACCTGTTGCCTCTTTTTTATTCCATTCATGTAAAGGATCATAAACAAATGATAGCAGATTACTAATAATAATACTTCTATTTGTTTGTAATAAATCTAAAGTAGAAATACAAGTATTATTATATGTCCCATGTAACCCTAATGCACCAAATCCATTAATAATATTTTGTGTCAATCTAAAAGGAACTAGCTCAGGAATACTACAAGATTTGCCTTTATCAAAAATACAATTTAAATCTACATGAACAACATCAAAAGATTTAGAGTCAAGTAAGATATTTTCTGTATGTCGATCTCCTAATCCCATAAACCATCCTACAATGTTCATTATTCCACATGTCAATACATAATTATTTCTTACCTGATACCAATGGTATGGATCTGTGGTCTGACTTCTAATATATTTATCTAAAATCGGACTAAATAAACTGAGAACATTTTTAAAATCTTTTAATCCTATTTTCTTTTTAACAGAATATTTCTTAGCTACTACACTTAAATTATCATAGTATTGTACTGCTATATTTTTTATAGAAATAAGACCTTCTATATATTCAATTAAACCAAAATTGTGAAAACATGGAATTACTTCATATGTTCTTATATAGTAGCTGGTGTTAGTACAGCTACCCGTACTGAATAATTTGTTTATTAACTTACAAACCTCAACAAATCTACTATCTTTTCTTAAATCATCTTTGTACTTACAAAGAAAATAATATTTCTTACCATCGTCTCCTAAAAAACAGATTCTCTTTGGCGCTTGTAATGATCTGTAAATCAATACTGTGCCCTCTATATCTTGTATAATTACAGGATATTTATTAGGTACATGCATGCCAATACATAAACATATTCCAGGAAAGTCTTTTTTAACATCAGTAATCTTTTGTGTAGTTGAAATCTCATACAAAATATCTCTCATTTTTTTTATTTTTGATAAGTAAAGCTTATTATCTATATCAAGACCATCAGTATTAATATCATTAATAAAATATATTGAAGACCAATATACTTCCTTATAATCAAGCATTAATGACACTATAATTTTGTTAATAAATCCATTTAAAAGTGAATTATTGATTTTACAAATAATCTGATTGTAAAATGGAAGTAAAAGTAATTTTAAGTGCTTTTGTTCTAAAAATTGTAATACCAATTTAAATGCCTTATTCAATTTTCTTTTATCACTAATATCTCCAAGAGCATGAAAAACTCGTGGAACACATTCATACTTGTATTCTCCATCAATAAGTAAAGAGTTAATATAAAATTCAATTTGATCTGTTAATTTCCCATATAAAAACCAAACTCTTGATATATTTTTTACATATTCTATATTCTTTGCAAAAAAGTCTTTTGAATTTACAAGTTCTAAATATTTAACCAAAGATTTAAGATACATAGCATCTTCTTTGTTAAAGATATTTAAAACTCTCTTAAAACACTCTTTAGCTTTAGATTTATTCCCTGCTTTTATGTATACTTCCCCTAAATCATGATAAAAAGACCATTCTTTATTTTCAATTAATGGTATAACTTGTTCGACAGCCTTGTCATACTTTTTATCAGTAAGTAAACATGAAATAATATCTCTTTTTACTGTAAAATAAAAAGAATTTAAAAGTTCTAACTTAGAACTTTCTGTAGCATCATTTTCACTACAACCAGAATTTAAATCACTATTTTTAGTTTTTAATTGTTTAAGCAATGAGAAATACATAAGTTCATGCAATTTAAGCAAGCTTGTATCAGCAGAAATTCGTCTTCGTCGTGTAACAATATCAAGATTATGTATATCATTCTCAACTAACTCACAATCAACGACAAAATGTCGGCCAAGATTATCTTCCATATTAATATTCTTCCACTCACTAAAATCATCTTCTATTATTTTAAACTGCTCATACAAATCAAAATCAATTTTTTCATTTTCTTTTTCAATTCGAAATTCGTAATATAAATTAGCCTTACTAGGTCTAACAAACATACAGTTAATACCTTGCACTCTTTCATAATCCTTAATTTTATAAAAAGCCTGTTGAAGCGTGTTGTATAAATATTCTTCATTATTAGAAAATAGCTGTTGTTCTACAAGATAAATAATATAATAAAAGTCATCAATAAGTTTACAAGATTCAATAAGTAATTCAAAATTTATATTTAAATCACATTTAAAATTACATTCAGTAATAAACTTAATAATTCTACAATTAATTTTATCTTCTAAGATTTCGTGTAATAATTTAATAACTAATTCATTTTTTACACGGCATAACATGTTTACTGCAGTAAACTCAAGAATTTTGGTCGTAAAAATTTCAGTATAGCTAAATAAGCTGTAGATTGTATTCTCAGTAACGTTTTTATCATCCGCCCATTGACACAATAAAATATTATTAAAAGCTATAAGAAACTTTTTATAATTTTTAATCTGTCGTATTTCAAATGTATCAATATTTTTAGTAGAAATATTACTTATAGCGTTATGAAATAGCACATCTAAAGCTTCATTATACATATCCTCGGGTTCAGTCTTTAGCTCTTCAATAAAATTATCCTTAAAGTAATCTAAAGGATTTGAACTTATTTGTAATTTATATAACATTTCTAAACTTTTTTCAAATTTAATATGTCCAACAATATCTAAAATTGACTGAGGTAATTTACCATACAAATCTCTAATTTTGGATTGGAAATCTATATCGGACTCAAATTTCTTTACAAAGTTTTTAATAAGTTCAAATTTATTCTGAGCATTGTTTAATATAGAAACAAACACATTGTAAGCATTTTTATTAGTTTTTTCTATTTTATCAAATAAATTATTAATTCTAAAATTATTACATTCATCTTTGCATGTTTTACATCCCAAGGCCCTAAAATAATCCCACACATTATCACTAATTTTTACTTCTAAATTATTAGAAAGGTATTTTAGTATTTCAAAAATACAGGAATTAACATTGTTATTGATATATTCTTGCCTAATAATATTTAAGATACTTGTTATATTGTTTTTTATTAGCATTTTAGATTTTTTAAAATCAAAATAGCCATATAGTAAACACATTGAAATTTCCTTAACGTTTAACTTTATATCGTTACATTTTTCCGTTCCACTGATTATTGAATGTGCTTTAATGTAATGATTATATTTATCTATAACTATGTTATATTTGTAGTATAGTAAAGGATATATCAAGTGAATATGAGAGCAGTAATTGAAATCAATGAATTCTGACAAGGGTGCAAAATAAGAATCCAAATCATTGTGTGGCGTAACGTGACCTATGTAAAATTCTAAAATCATTTGTGAAATGCTTGAAAAATCTTTAAAAGATACTATATTAAGTATAGTGTCTTTAATATACTTATTTGTGTATTTTGAATATGTTAAATAAAGAAAAGCAAAATAAGCAAATAACAATTTTTTTGTTGGTTGAATAATTTCATAAATATTATATACTTTCTTTAAAGAATAAATATCTTTGTTAAGTAAAGATTTAACAAAACTGATTAAGGTTTCTTCATATTCAATATTGTTATTAAAATCATAATATTCCAAATTGCTGTATTTGTCCTCATCTGTATTGGTATTAATGGCTATAAGTAGAGTTTTAAGAGAATCATTATTTATGCAAGAATAATTTTCTTTTATATTTTTTTTATTTATGCAAGCATTTAATTTGTTTGCATGAGAAACAAACTTATTGTCAGTAGAATTATATTCATAAACATATTCTAAATAATTTTTATATATGTTCATATCCAGCATACTTAAATTTTCTTTATCAAAAAATAAATCATTTTTGTGATCATTGCTGTATTTCTTATATAATATATAATTATAGAAATTATCAGACCTTATTGCAATCTGTTTTTCAGTAATTTCAATTATTTGCTGAAATTTGTTAAAAATGTTGTATGAGATGGGATGCTTTAAAATATCTTGGTATTTTGACTTTACAAATATGTGCTGAAATCTAATATTAGTTGTTAGCTTATTTAAGCATATAAGTAAAAATTTATCAATAGACACCAAATTTGCTTCATTTACTAAAAATTCTATTGTTAAATTAATAAGATCTAAAGAAATTACGCTTTCCAAGCTCTCAGTAAAAATTTCTAAGTAATTTGATGGATTAATTTTAGATTTATATAAATTTATTTTGTAAATACTATCAAACATGGATAATTTTATTTTCTAAAATTTAAATATAAAAATAACAATATAAATATAACAGGATTATTATACAAAAAGAAATAATAAAATTTCACTTAAACAGTTGTAAACATATTGAATAATCTTTTACTATTTTTTGCGTATTAGTTTTTAAAAATATTTAACTAGTATTACTCTTGATTTGAATACTAAAAGTAAAAACTAGCAACTAAACAGTAAAATACAAATATAGTTTTTATTAAATTGTAACACTTTTTAATAACATATAAATAATAATTTTGTTTACAATTTTAAATATTTCGCCTCTTTAAAAAAAATGTGTCAAAAAGTGTAGAATTTCAGACTAAAGAACATTTGTAAAAAGTTACAAAACTTCAAAAACTGTTAAGATAATTTCTAGCAATATTTACAATAAAGCTTAAATTTTTAAAATTAAGTTTTCTGATAGGAAACTATATGATTTGTAATAAAAAGCAGTTATATGTATCAAAAAAGTTTGCTGCTTTTTAACCACTCAAAAATATGCAAGTTTGCAGTTGTGTGTTTGTTTAAGATTTATAAAAAAAAATGTTAATGATATTGGTGACAGTGTCGTAGTAATATCATTTGTAAAAAAATGGATATATGTATATCGTATATATTATATATATATATATACATATATCCATTTAATTTTAATTTATTAATTAAATTCTTATTGGAGAAACTTCAGTTCATCAGATTTATTTAAGCATCCACAAATTTTTCGGATTAATTATAAACACCATAGTCTTTTAATTGTTAAATTCTCAGCTAATCTTTCGTACCTTTTCCTATATTTTTTTATTATGCGCTTAAAATCCCCTTCTCTTAAGAAAACACCCATTTCCTCGATCTCAACACAGCACACAGCGCTAGCATGCCACAAGGGCTTCCCGCTTGATAGGAAGATGGATGTATTAATTCCCATAAGGACCCTCAAAGAGCCGAAGACCGGTAGTACGCTACCAGACCGGAGGTTCACTGGATCTTTTGGTCAGATAAGGCGATATGGGTCCTAATGACCGTAATGGATCCCCACCATCCATCCCATCCCCACGAAATGCTAGAGCTTCACTTGCTTACTACGACCTTCTCAAGCGGATGTCTTCAAATGTAATTTCTTATTAAAAGTCTTCGAATACGATCTGCAAATGCCTACACAGCTACGGCAATTGTCGTGCCGACCCGCAGATGTTGTGCCTTCTCCACATCTTTAAGGACATTTTCAACTCTTAGTCGACGCCTACAGAAAAGCTTACGATACGACTTTACTTTACCCAACAAATATTTTATGACAATTGTTTTATCAACGCCAATATTAGCTAGCGAATTCGCATTGCTGGTATTCGAACCCATACCTTCGAGCATCGGAACGAGAGACAACCACTGCACTAACAATGCTTCGGTAAAATGGATATTTAAATTATGACTTTGTATTTTGAATTTCTGCGCTATCTTAATATCTTGCCTATGATTAAATTTTAGGGCCGAAGTTTGCCTACAAAATCATTATTCAAAGAATCCCTATATTAGTGCTAAAAAAGTTTTAAGTAGTGCGAGTATTTTTAATATGTGTAGACAGAAAAATGTTTGGTTAGTTTAAATAATAAAAAAAAATTTATTTTAAATAGAAGAATCTATGTTTTACGATACAAGATCTAATAAAAAGTGAATTGATGAATACTTTTGAGTTTTTGGTATTATACAAAAAAAACAGGATGGTGTTTTCTTGAATTCGTAATAATACAACACGAAAAACGTTAATGAAACTTTTTTAAGCGAAAAAGACCTGTATTAAGAATTATTTCCGGGTAATTGTGTGATAATGGAATATTATACCAAAGTTTAGTATATTAATATACTTAAATAAATCATTTTTTGAATTTTCCAGATCCAAGTGATTTCTGATATCTATACTCGAAACGTAGAATGTATGTACATCCTGCTAAAACTGAATTGTGTGTATAGTATAAAAATCAAAGATGACATCTGGGCAGAGATTTAATAAATTTATGTTTAAATATGCTTGTAGTAGAAAAAACAAAAGATTTTCAAATTTTTTGTGGTTGTTAGGTAAATTAACTGATTATATCCTTTTTTTATAAAATTTTGTGTAACTTTTTAAATATTCTCTAGTCTAAAATAATTGGAAAGTGATAAAAATATTATGAGGTGCACTACAAGTAGATGGAAGAATCCAAAAATGTTTTTATGCGCTTGTGAAAACTGGTGCAACTATGTTGCTATGGTTGCACAAAATAAAATAACAAATTTAATTAATTTACAAATTAACCATTAACGATACAAAATGTTGTATACATTAAGTAACAGTTAAAATTAAAAATATGTACTATTATTCACGCCCAAGTATTATCAGCATACATTGTGTCTGGATATCTTCAATTTTATATTACTTTTATGTTAGATTTACTTGAAAAAGAATACATGTTAAAATACTTACTTATTTTTCGCATCTGTGTGGCATCTTTTGTACTACCTTGAAGGAGAGCTAATGTAATAGGATAAATTAAGTTTTTCGCTTTAACTACATCTAACAGTTGATATTTTGTTGATATAAATTTAATGTATATACCAATAATACTGAATATTATTAAAATGTAATGGAATTCTATCTAAGAGGTTTATGAATTACAGTAATTCATTTACATTTATAAATGTCGCAAAAATTCCATAGATATAACTTATTACATTAACAGTTTGCTGTTATGATAAATGTAAATTTGTTTTTTTCTTTAAAAAAATATTATAGAAATTAAAAATATATATTTTAAAATAAAACGACTTAAATGCTATTTTTTAAAAAAAGCGATATTTAATTAATGAATAATTATTTTATTTAATTAATAATTTCTAAATTATAATTTTTTGGGAAATTATCCCCTCAATGTTACAATTCTATTTTTACATTTTATTTATAATTTGTTTAGAGGCAAATAGAAATAGTTCATCCACAGATAGCTACATCAATGTTGAGACACAACGATCAACTATTATTGATGGATTAGAAGAGAATGTAGTAAGCATAAAATCATGTTTTAATAGATTTTGTGCGTCACCAACCAAGTTGGATATGCTTTTTGGTGTTATTATGATATTTTGTATGTTTTTTCTTATGTTAAAATATTACATAAGTTTTTATTATACAAACAAAACTGAAGATGATAATGATGCAACAGATGATCAAGTATCTTTTAATAAATAAAATATTTTAATCGATGGTTTAGTATTGAATTTTTTTACATTTTAAAGGTGTAATTTATTTAATTTGGACATTTTTAAAAATAAATAAAATGAGATGCAAATAATATTATTTAAATAAAATTTTTATCTAATAAGTATCAATTTTACAAAATAAATTGGTATTAATTGCAAAAATTATACCTGTTGGCAATTAAAAATGACATGTTTATTGATTAAATTTCTTCTTAAATATTATTTTCTGAATTATAGTTTTAGAACAGTTTATAGTAACCAATAGACTACTTCTGAAATATTGTGATTATTAATAAGAGAAGACTTAAAAGAAATAATTACCTCCATCAATATCTACTTACTGTTGCCTTATATACAATTTTTTTTACCATAGCAAGATTTATTTTTATATAAGTAACTTGGCTATGCTTTTATTAATATTCTAAAAGTTTTTATTTTATAACGTTCATTCTATTACTTATATAACTTTTTTTGATTTCTATATTATAAATGATCCATTCTTTCTTCTTAAAAATTTTATTTTAAAAGCTTTAATGAGACCATTGACATTAAGCTTAACCGTTATGTGATGATTTATATGATGTAGATGTATTCATCGCAGTGCTACTTTAAATTGACGCAAAAAACAAAGAAGATACACAAACATTTAGTACGAAGATTATAAGAAATGGCAAAGCATAAAAACACGTAAATATACGAACATCTACAAAAATTTAGATGAGAGATTTTTCTGATCTTTTGTGATTTATAAAAAGAAAAAAAATTATTTAACTATTATCAAAAATAACAAGCTAAAAAATTACGATTTTTTGTAAAGTAACTAAGATTAATACATAAATACCGAACAATGAAACGTGATACGATGCTAGTAAATACCATAAAAACGACATTCGAGAGCAAAAAATTGTATTTTTCTATCTTAAATATTTAGTCTTTTTCCCAACACTTCATAACAATTGCGTGTCTATGCGAAGGGCGGTAAATTGTTTATACAAACTTGCTAAACATTGTAATCTTGTTGTTTTCTTCGTGGCTGCTGGAACAACAAGGGGGCACAGCTATTGTTCTTAGTCTTGGTAAACCATTGCCGATAGCAGAAGCCGTGACTCTTCGGAAAATCTGCATCAATTTGGGCAGATGGGTGTCGTTAGAGAGTATTCTCACCCCGTTTAAGACAAATGTGTCTTGACCTGGTAAGAGTCTGGCTTAAAGCTGCATAGTATACCGTAGCACTCCGCTGGACTGAGTTGTGTCCTTAAATGGTGTATTGAGCCAGGCATTAAACTTCAAATTCTGCTGAGCGCAGGTCTTAGTCTTTATGACCAATTGATTTTAATAAATTTTACGGGGTTCCCTATCTTCCTACAAGCAAAGCCCTAGTGGTATGCTAGTGTGCGTCACTGATTATTTAATTTTGA